CACATGAATCAGATTCAACTATGAGGTTCCTAAAGCCAAGGTCCTTGGCCATTTTAAGATCCCCCATGCAAGCCCAAAACTTAGCACAAAATGAATCCCCATTATTCATTTTGAACAGAAATCCTAATTTCAATTCATTTTGAACAAAAATCCTAATTTCAACTTCCCTTTTGGGTTGCGTATTAGTCCACCATAGTCGGCCTCATTCATATATGTAGAGAAAGCATTGTCTACATTAAGCTTAAACTAATCATTACTTGGCAGACTCAAAATGCCATTAAGCCAAGGCACATCCTATTCTCTCCAAACAATACCTTTGAGCTTACTACGATATCCCATGAAAGTATTAATAATGGCAACTATTTATGCATTAATGGAACCATTAGAAGTATTTTTATTCAGTATTTTTATTCTAAAAAATCATCTCATTCCTTTGTCTCCAAATAAGCCAACAAGCTATTGTGAAATAGGAGATCCAAGGAATACCATGATTAGTTGTTGTTGATCACACATTCTGTTGAACCCACTATTGCAAGTTAATGTCAAAAAAGGCCCTTTTGTCTCCATGGTCCAGAATATCTAACCAAAATCTTCTCATGTTTGGATAATCTTGAAGCATATGCATGATGTCTTCCATTGCTTCCTTGCAAATCTCACAACAAACTTCTGCATGCATTCCTTATAACATTCGAGAAAATCTAAATCCCAATTAGCTAGGTAAATGAGGTTAATTATGTAAATTAATGTAATGTATGGTTATAGAGAAGTAATAGGTGTTTTGGGTTATTAGTCAACCCTAAGATTGAGTCCAAAGTGAGATTGAGTTACCCGAATATGAAAAAGTGAGGAAAATAAAGAGAAATAGCTCTGTGCCACATGTTGCAGCGTGTGCACAAGATGTTGTGATGCATGGTGCCATTTGAACAAGAAAACCTTTCTTTATACCATATGATGTAACGTATGGGGACAGGCATTGTGATGCACAATGATAAATATGTAGAAATAAGACATGAAAACTAACAAAAAACATAAGAGAAACAAAAGCGAAGCGAAAAAGAAATGAAAAAAACTCTGTTAGGGCTTGAAGAATTGAGGTATTGGGAGTGTTTTAGAGCATCAAAATACTAGAGGTAAGTTCCTTAAGCTTGAATCTCTCTTTCTCTTCCATTTTTCTTAAATTTAGAAGTTAAGGTTTGGTTAAGAAAGATTATTTTCGATCTATAGAGGCTATGGGTCCAAACCTATTGACTTAAATAGAGTTAACAGGAATTGTTTAAGTTATTAAAACCTAACATTTATGGTGTTGTTTGTTTTGGTAGCTATGGGGTAATAAATATCCAAAATATAGGATACCTTATAAAAATTAAACCATTTTTCCAAATTTACCTCTTCTTGATTAGCGTGAAAGTATTTAATGTAATTATATTATTATTTAAAGTTAAGGGTAAAAATAAAAGTACATTTCACTTTTTTATTATATAAAAATTAACTTTTTTTTAGATTCATGAAATAGTTGAAAGTACTTTATAATAAGGACCGAATGAAGTATTATCCTCTTTGCTGATGTGTACTTATCTTGGTTTTGTCTACCATATTCACTTTAAACTAAATATAAAAGAAAGCTTTTTCTTCCCTTATCTTTTATTTTTAATCATACCTAATCTATTTATTTTCATGTTAGCATACTTTTCCCATTTTAGCAAAGGGGTTATCAGAGTTACAATAAAATTAACTTTTTCAATGACAGGCTGACAGCTCATGGTCATTATGTATATATATGTTAAAAATTATAGGGACTAACTTTGTATATTGATTAAATTAAAGTGTCTAGAATTTCACCCAAAAAAAAATTCTAGAAATGATGAAATAAAACTATAGAAACTAAAAATAAAATGCAATCAAAATACATGGAACTATTGAGGTATTTTTCCTATAATATAATGTATTATTTTTTGTGGTAATTGATTTAGAAAATTGATTAATAATATTAATTTTGAGTACAATTGAAATAATGTAAAACAATGATTTTGTGAAAATAATTCAAACGCTCATATTACATGCCAAAATCAATATTATAGTTTCTGACCAAAAAAAACCTAAAATTGTAGTTTTTTTAATATCTAAACACTCATATACATGCAAAAATTAATTATGAATCCAAAATCATGATTATCTCATAATAGATCTCAATATTATGTATTATTTTGAGTAATGATGTTAAAGTCTCCAAATGATGAATTAATAATAGTTAACTCCCAAATTGCTTTTTTTAATAAGTTGCAAATATCAATTCAGGCTACATCTTTAAATTGAAATCTCAATTACAAATTGAGAGTTACATTTAAAACTTAAATACCATATTTATAATGAAGACTTTTACATTTTAAGTTGTTTGAATCGGCAACCCATTTTTTTATAAAAATTTAATTTATTGGGACATAATTATCCTCAATTTATTGTTTTACGATCTAAGCATCATTGCGCATTCCCTTTAATTTTTTCCAATTATTAAAAAAACATAGACAACTAAAGAAATTAATAAATGGGACAACACTTTTGAAGCAAAAATAACGTTAGGCAGTTCAAGTGTAAATGAACTTGAATTTACGTGAAAAGTATCATATCGAATAAATTTTAACATAATAACTAATAAATGACCCATAAACTTAAGCGCCTTAAGATTATGAGTTAAGATGCAGTGTTCTTTTATTACTCTTGTCCATTTACTCTCTCTCTCTCTCTCTCTCTCTCTCTCTCTCTCTCTCTCTCTCTCTCTCTCTCTCTCTCTCTCTCTCATTGCCAAAAAGTAGCTTCCACCTAATTGTAGGAGCAAGGACTTGTTTAAGTATTGTGAGTAAACTTGAGCCAATGTGAAAAGTACCACATCTAGATGTTGTTGGGCTTAATAATTAAAATATGATAATGATAAATGGAAGAACCTACTTAAGTCTTAAAGTTTTTGATTTGTTTCCTGGTGTAAGAGTTATTCGATATGCACTACAATCTTTCTGAAGCACGACCTTGTACACCTCTTATAGTTGGTCCCTTAATTTGTGCTACTCTATGATATTTGGATTTTTTATTGGTGCTTTTCTATTTTTTCTCTTAAAATGGCAAAGTCATAGATTGATCAATTCATCTCATTTACTTTAAATGGTTACAATTACTGCCTTTGGTTAGAAAAATGTGATCTTGCTTAGTCTTCTTTGGAATCATCCCCTATTGCACTTAAGGCTCATTTTACTTTGGAATCCTCTTCAATTGATCTTAACCTTTTAAATAACGTTTAGATTTTTTAAGACATGAATTGTCAAATGTGAGGATATCTTGGTGTAAAAAAAATGAATGAATTATCAGGAACTAATGTAATGTAGTAACGTTACAATTTTCCCATAAATGTAGAGAATTTGATACCAAAGAAGTTGGGGGGAAATCACATATTGATTCAAGAAAAATACTACTCCTCTTTAAAAAATATAAAATATTTTTAATCAAATTTTACTCTCCAATAAAATAGTTATCAAGAAAAATAGTACTCCTCTATTAAAAAATATAAAATATTTTTAATCAAATTTTACTTCTTAATAAAATAGTTACCTACTTTCAGATTAATTCTATCTTTTTATATTTACCCATATTAAACACCTACAATAAATTTAAGTCATTCATCAATATGAATATTTTTGAAAAAAAGATAATGATTACACCTTAAAAAATTAAATTTCTTTTACATTTTTAAACATCCAACTCTTCAAAAAATGTCTTATATTTTTGAATGATGGAATACTATCTATAATAAGGAAAAATTAATTTGCAAGTTCTAATAATTTTTTAATTTTAAATTAGGACCTACTCCCTCTATTAAAAAATATAAAATATTTTTTAAAGAGTTGAATGTTAAAAATTATAAAACACTTTTTTTTAGTATTTTAAGGTGTAATCATTACCTTTTTTAAAAAAAAATATTCATATTGATAAATGACTTTATATTTATTATAAAGTGTTTAATAGAAATAAATATGAAAAGACATGATTAGTTTGAAAGTAGGTGACTACTTGATTGAAAGTAAAATTTAATTAAAAATACCTTATATTTTTAAATAAAAGGAGTATAATTTATTTTATTTTAAGGTAAACAAGTAAATTTTCATTTGAAATTTAGGTCTAGTAAAACCATCAACCATGAAATCATTTATTGTGTAAATTATTTTCTTAACGTTTAAAAACATTACAATTTCACCCTTATCAATAATAAAAGTTAACTTTGATAGTTATTTGATTAGAAAATAATAGCTAAAAACCTTAAAATTATAGAAAAGAACAAACAAATTACAATAAAAAGATCTAAAAATCATAGATAAAGACAAAAAATTATAGAAAAGGACCAAAAAAAATTTAGTCATTATAATTTGATGGATCTTAAAGGTTGAAATCCCTAAATGTTTTCTTTTGTAAAAAATAAAATTAAAAACGTTGATATTTTTATTAAAAGATTACATAACAATAAAATTAATTATAAAATTTTATAATTTAAAATTTATATAAATAGTTTATGTGTCTTTAAATAATTTTTATACATATAAAATTTTTATTAAAAATTTAATAAAAATGTAAATATTGTATTAAATCAATTTTTTTTGCCAAAAGTATTCAACAAAGAAGTGTTTTTATTTTAAAAAAATATTATTTATTAATAATTTTAAATTTTAAATATTAAAATATTTAATTGGTTAGATAATAAAAAAATATTAAAATAAAATAAATTATAAAAACCAAATTCAAAATTGAGGTAGATTTTACCAAAGAAAATCATGAAAAAAAAATTAAATATTGATCAGCAAAGGTAAATTGAAGTGGGAAGTTCTCAGTTGTTAAATCAGATGAACAATTCAGATTCTGCCACGTAGACCAGCTTGCTGGATGCGACATTCGAGTGACGTGGCTTCATCTGGGGTATTGATTGCTGAGTGGATCAGGTGAAACCTGAAACCTAAAATGGACTATTCAAATTCCAAGGATAGTTCGCGCTCGAAAATCAGCACGGCAAAGCGTAGTTTTTGCCGCTGGTGCAATCACTGTTCCTCTTGACTGTAGCTGCGCCATTGTTGTGCAGTCCGGAGGAGTCTATTGCCTCTTCACCTAGCTGTTCGAACATTTTGGTATCGTGGCGCTAAATCCGTATACGAATCTTGAAACTTTGGAGGGTGTATCTGCACATTGGAAGGAGGGAAAATTCTGAATCCCTAGACTAATAGAGTCTCCAGTACAAATATTGGAACCTAAGGTAAGTTTCATGGCGATTTTCTTGTGTATGTGGAATTGCTATCAACAATTTTCATATCGAAATGCGAAGACGATGTTCAATATGCATCATTTGATATATCTTGTGCCTGTGATTCTTATTGATGTACTTTTTATGGTTAATCTCACAAGTGTTATGATTTTTCAGTCGTGATGCATGTCTAGAATCTCGCTTCTCTTCTGATGAATTCAGATGCATATTTTAGGAATTTCTAAGTTCATATCCTCACCTTGATTGGGAATGGAATTAATTTGAGGACGTCACATGCTCCTAAATTTATGCAATTCACCAAATTTTGTGATTACATTAGTCAACGATCAATGACGAATTAGTTCTTTGTGGCTGACACGCGCGAGCGCGCTCGCGCGCGCATCTTCATGCAGATTTTGTTGAAATATCCTCCTGCGAAGAAGATGCCAACGCGTATGAAGGATTTAGCCTCTTTTGCTTAGAAAATGAATCTATGCGTAAGGGCCATTATTAATTGAGATAGAGAGTTGCAATATCCTTCCAGCCTTTTCTCTGAACTCTGTGGCCTTGAAATAGTCTTCTGCAGAAAGATCTAGCATCTTGGTTTTGCTCTTTATGATCATGGCTTCATCTGCAAAACCGAAGCACATTTCAATAACTCTAGTTGTTGACAAAGATAAAAACAAGGTTCTCTATGCTGAAGCAGAGAGTGACTTCGTTGATATTTTATTAAGCTTCTTATCATTGCCATTGGGAACTGTTTCTGAACTCATTAGTAAGGATTCTACCGCACAGCCTTGCAGATTTAACTGCATAACCTCACTGTATCAAAGTTCAAAAAATCTGGATCCAAAGTACTTTTATTCGAATGAGTATAAAGGAAAGCTGCTGAATCCAACCAACCCAATGGAAGCTTATTCCGAAAAGCTGGTATATAACTTGGATGACACACCAATCTCACAAGGCTTTCATGGCTATCTGCACAAACCGACAAGTTTTATAGTTTCCGATGATCTACTGGCATTGGTTAGTGATTTGGATACAACCTGGTGGATGCTGCAAAATTTTAGAATTGACTTTGATTCTGAAAGATTGACTGTGAATGTCACCCAGAATGAGGTGAGGATATTACCCATTGTAATATAGAGTAATTTGTATTCATCTCTTAATTTGCATTCATTTGATTTTAAAAAAGTTTCTTGAATTTCACAACCTTAAACTTCGAAGTTTTATTATCGAAATTTATCCATTTTGTTGACACTATATAGATTTTTCTCTATGCATAATCTTAGCAAAATTTAGAGAAATTTGTTGAGTTTACTTGTTGCTTTCAATTATTCTCTGGGACTGGGAAAAATTGAGTAACTTTTCTCTCTTCCCCTCATTGTTTGATTTTTATTCGTCATCATTTCAAATTTCAAACTTTATACATGCTTTAATTGTGAAGGTACTGGATCTACTGAAGTTCTCATTATGGTCGGAGACACTATTGACAGATTTATTCTTACGCAAAAAACTGCCCATTCCGAACTCTCAAATACCAGAGTCTGAGTTAGAGGTAAATGAGATAAAAGGCAAGGAGGGCAGGAAAATGAATCTGAGGTTAATGGTATTAAAATCTCCACGCAAAGTACTGTTTGGTGAAGCAGGAGAGGATTTCACAGATCAGCTATTAAGTTTCCTGACTATTCCACTTGGTGCACTGGAACATCTTTCACAAGGCAAGTTTGGTTTGGGCTGCATTGATAATTTGTACAAGAGCTTGCGTCGTTTGGATCCAACTAGAGATTTTAGTTCCGAATTTTATGATCTAAAGAACAAGCTCCTCAATCCTCATGTTGCCTAAAGTAATGTCGAGAACCAGTTGCTTCCAATTTATAGGCCAGACCTGCCTTCAGAAATTGGGCACGACGGTTATACTAGATGGAGGTCATTGTCCTAGTGGCAGATAATTTGTCACTTTTACCATTCTCTCAGCGGGCTGCTTTGACATTCCTTCGTAAATCCAAAGCTGATGTGGATGACTTATTGGCAGTGAAGATAAGCGTTGGGCTGAATGAGGTCCTTTCTTCTCTTAATTCCACTTTTCTTTGACCTTTTGGATCAAACTTGAAATGATTCGTATCTTCAAATATTTTGTTGTGCTACACTTTTTTTTTTTTCTCTTTTTTGAACTTTTCTCCCTTTGGTATGTTTTTATTTCTCCATCATTTTCGCATATTTTTACCCTGAGAATGGCACAAAGATTCCATCATAATGGTTAGCGCTTCTTTTCTGCCATATCGCTCTAGTTTTGCCTGGATTTTTTATCACAAAGTGGAAAGTCATGAGGAATTTGAATGAGAAGCTCGCTAGAAGTTTTCACCAGAATTTCACATGATTGATCTGCTCTCAGTTTGCTTCTCTGCTCTCCATCAATCCTTTGATTATCTTTATTCTTCGGGTTTTAAACCTTTTAGATTGAGTTCAAATAGTCTTATTTAATATCTTAATAATGATAATTAAAATGTAAAAGAAAAACCAAAATTTAAACATAAGTAATTTCAGAGGCCGGAAATAAAATAAAGTAGAAAGGGGACATTCAGAAAGCAGACCTGAGAAGGAATGAAAAGTTGAAACAGAGTAGGGTGATGAACTGTAGAGAAAGTGATTTAATTCATTAGTTCTCTCTTTCTTTCGTTTCTTTTTTCAGTTCCATTTTGTCTTCGGATTTCAATGCTGGTGTTGGATATGCTGAGAGCTGCCATATTGACATCATCAGCCTTTACGCTGAGTCTGAACCTGACGCTTCCTTGCGATGAAGAAGAGACATGTGAAGACGATGAAGAGTGCCAAGACTATGAAGAAGAGACATGCGAATGATTGCTAAATGCTGCAATAGTATTTGGATTTCAAGTGGAATTGATGTCATTATATGAAGGTATATATATATATATTTTTTGGTTTGCTCATTTTCTTTCTTTTCTGTTGTTATTGTGCTAATTGTGATGATCCGTAACAGAACATGGAACATATGTATGCTTTTAAACTATTGTTCTTCGTATGAGTAACGTCGGAAGGGATCCCAGTCATAACATTTAATCAGCATTAGATGATCTGCTTTGTACGTACTTATTTTTGGGTTAATATTACGGACAATCGTTTTATCTTTTAGTAAATCTAGATCAGGCAAATCCTTGTTTGAATAAATTTTCGGTCAGTTCAATATCTATGATTTATCTATTGGATGTAGTCAAAGTTAGCTGAAAGCTAGAGTGGATTAAAAAGCAGAAAAACAGTAGAGTTACATCGCTTATGTGAGTCCAAATACATGTTCAATTATGAGTTACTCCTTCCAGTTTTATGTATTAGTGAAAATAGAAGAATCTTAGTCTTATTTATAAATGTTATTAATTTTTGTTACTTATTTTTTCTTTTACCCTTAATTGAATGTTAGTGAGAGGATGAATGTTATTAAAGTATGTATATAATATAGGTAAATTTAAAAACTTATTAAATTTTTAAATATGATTAATGAATTTTTGGATTTTCTGTAATTCTGTAAAACATATTAAAAATAACTTATTACATAAGGGGTAAAATTAAAAGATTATATTTTTAAATAAAGTTTATAACTCAATCATTTCTTAATTTTGATAAAATAGTTAGAAGTATTTTATAATAGTGTGAGGTATATAAAGGACAAGCCTTTTTTTTTCCCCCCAAAGCAAAGATGGATCTGGCAAATCTTTGAATAAATTTGCTTTGGGCTCAATATCTGGAAGTCTATGATTCAATCTCTCTCTGCCGTTTTTTTTTTTTAAAAAAAGAAATATCTATGATACATTCTCTTTAAATTACTTCTGGTGAAAAAAAAAAATTCTCTTTAAATTACTTTCTCTATATTTGGTCCCATCAACTCGTACCAATTATCTAAAAACTAGAATATGTTTATTTTAAAAAAAAGATATTGTAAATTGGATATACTTAAACTTAATAAGCTAATATATAATAAAGTGAAGGACCTACATGAATTTAAGCTTAAGATTATGATCTATTAAGGTGCTCAACAAAATTTGGAAGCATTTCTAAGTATTTCTTGCCAAAAGAGAGAGAGATCACTGACATGTATGGTCACATAGTGAGTGAGATGTTTCGTTGGAAGAATTAATCTTTTGATTGAAAGATTATTGGTTACTAAAGATAGCTCAAGTAAACTTAAAAATAAAAAAATAAAAAAGAGGATAGCTCAAGTAAACTTAGAAATGAAATTTATAGTGGCTACAATATTAATTAAGCCTGATACAGTTAGTTTTTCCTCCGCGCCAAAATTAGGACCTAAGCCTGAATAAATATAGTTTAAATGTTAAAAAAAAAAAAGATCGATATGAATTCCATATTACCAGTTTTTACCAGTTTGAATGGATTCCTCTCAACCATAAAACAACTAGGTACTAATATATTCACCAGCTTTAATTTTAGTTGAATTGACTTTATATCCGGCCTAGTATTTTAACCGTGGTTGATAAAATAAGAATGTGAAAAGTAGCTAGAAAGTTATGTGAAATAATCAATCCGACAAATAAATCTAATCAGGCAAGCCCCTCTAATAATATGGCTCCTCTCTCGTTTTACTGGTCATAGAGTCCTTTACATTAAACAGTACTGACTTTTATGTTGGGCTGCGTTTGAGATTTAAAAAAAAAAAAATCTTCATCTTTTTTCTTTTGAATTTATGTCAGAAAAGGCGAGTTTCATGACACTATATAGTACAAATTGAAGGCAACATATCTACTTTAATTTTATGTATAAATCCATAAATTAAGGAATGACTTATCTTCTCCATCTTTTTTCATGAAAAAAGGCTTTGGTTTAGTTACACATGTTTAACAGCATGAATGAGACAATGAGCAGAGTTTAGAATAATATAAGGCAAAAATAAAATTAAATCCATTGCTATTTCTTAGTCTCCCCTCCTTTTCCTTTCTTCCTTTTCCCTTTTCCTTTTATGAAAATAAAAATTTAAAAAAACAAAAGAAAAATGATGCTCAGTCTTGGACAGCCACATGTCCGGTAATGCTGCTTGCTAACGTGTCTTCACGCTTTCCATAATGTCATCCGATCGCCTTATTGACTTCTTCGGTCCTCCATGTCATGTCCCCCATCCGTGGCGGACGGAGGACCTAAGCTCAGTGGAGACAATATTTATTTTTTAATATTTATTATTATTATTATTATTTAAAAAATATATTTAAATATTATACCAAGTACCTTAAATTTTTATTAAAAATTATATTTTTCATTTAAAATTTATAATATAAAATTTTTCTACACTAAATGATTTTTAATAACTTTTAACCAACTACAAACAGCCAACTAAATGACCATAAACTCAAACTTACAATTTAAACAAATAATGAAATAAATTAAATTAAATAATTTTATTAAAAAAAGATAAAAAAAAGATGTCACTCAAGTCTCAACTACGTCATTCTCTCCATTTACTTTAATTTCAAGTTTCGAAGATCTCTCTCCTCTCATATCTTGTCTTGTCTTTTTATGTGTTTTAATTTTTTTAAAAACAAAACCCACTTTTTATTTTGACAAATTGACCAAAGTACTATAAAAAAAATTTATTTATCAAAATATTATAAATTTAAAAATATTTATTTAAATGTTATAAATCAAAAATTGATTCGTAAAACGTTCACTATTGTCCCTCATTAGATAAATTTAAAAAAAAATTTTGATTACATAAATGAATGTGTTATATACCTTGATGAATTAGCTTTTTGAAAGAGAATAATAACTTTATAATAAAATGATATTAAAATTAGATTCAAATTTATTTAATTGATAGATTTTTTAATAAGTTACTCATGATAAGAGTGTTATAAATTGATTAAAAAATTATTATGTCTTGTGTTAAAAAAACTTAAAAAAAATTTTAATTATATAAATAGACGTGTTGTATATTTTAATAAATTAACATTTTAAGAATAGAGTAATGACAGGTGACATCCAGTCTATGGACTCAATTTCTCGTTAACGTCCTTACCTAGGCTTTGGCTAGGATGTGACTCCTCCTAACAAAGAGCAAGCCGCTACCAGCCCACCATATGGCCGCATGTACTCCTTTATTTTTCATCTCTTTTGTTAATCTTAAGTTGTGCTCGAACTTTGGCAAAAAAAAAAAAAAATGTTTGAATAGGTCAAAAAAATATTCCCCTCTATTAAAAAATATAAAATATTTTTAATTTTTTTAAAATGTAATTATTAATTTTTTTAAAAGTGCCTCAAGTAATAATATTTTATATTTGTTGTAGGCTATTTAAAAAAGATAAATATAAAAAGATAGAATTAATTAAAAAATAAATAACTATTTTATTAAAGGTGAGATTTTTAATTAAAAATATTTTATATTTTTAAATTAAAGGGATATAAAATTTACCACTACTGCTTTATTTAATCTAAAATATGAAATAATATATCAAATCAAAGGTTCATATGCGCGCATCTCTTAAAGGATAATTTTTAAGTAGATGGGGAAAACTTATTATATGAATAGAAAGATGGACAAGACCTTTGCCCGTTGGTTCTTAACAACCCCTTATCATTAAGTTTTAAAATTTACAGCCACTCCTTTAATTTTTGATTTCTTTTTTTTGTTTCTAATACAAGTGGCAAGTCTAAGTTTTTTTTTTTTTTGGCCAAAGGGCAAGTCCAAGCTCGAAAATAAAAGTAACTATCTACAGTAGACTAAGTACGAGAGCATGAGCTCATTACAGAGGGAGAGAGCCTCTTTATGTAGAGTTAAAAATAACTGAACTTATTCCGCATGGATCTAGTCCATATAGGCGGAGCTCACAAGGACTTGAATTTTTAAGTTTAATTTTTTAATTTTTTATTTTTTTATGCTCGGTCCTTAGTTAAATGATTTAGCGTCGGGCTCGTAAGTTTTATTATAAAAAAATAAAAAATTAAAATAAAATTAAATACTATAAATTAATTAAAATCTTTTGAAATTCAAAAAAATTTTTATAATTTTTTAAAAATTAAGCAACACACATTTAAAAATTTATTAATAAAATTCAAATCGTGATTAAAAATAGTTCATTTTTTATAAATACACAAACATAATAATTATTAAAAATAAAAAATATCAAAAATTGTATACTATATACTAATATTTATTAAATTATATGAAATTAATTTTAAAATAAATTAAAATTAATAATAATATAATATGTGTGTAGGATTAGGATTCCTTGGCTTCAAATGCATGTTCTAACAAAAAAAATAATATAATAAAACTTGGAAGGCCGTCCAAACTTAAGTCTTTTTTCACCGAGCTTGAAGGGTCAAGCCCTCAAACCTGATTACTTTAAAAAATTTAATTTCAAAATCCGAACTCTTATTTAAATAAAACTTTTAAATTTGACTTTTTAAGTTTGACTTTTATTTTTAACTCTATCCCTATATAACAAAAAAATCTTGTCCCTCAAAATGTGCTTTCTTAGCTAGAATGTCGGCAAAGCCAATCCAGTCCCCGCTGGTGAAGGTGATATCAATCTCCTCCAGTTGACAAATGCTACTCCGTATCTGATGAATCTAAGAAGATTTATCATTTCTATTGTGGTGTGCAAGGTCAATGTTTTGCCAATAGAGATCAGGGGCTCAACGTCTCTGCAAATGTCTACCAAAGAATTCCCATGCATGCATCATCAATATATAAACATTTCCTTGATATAAACAACTTAATACTTGTAAAAAAAAAAATATCATTTTACCTCTTATAGTTATTAATCTGATTCTTATATATCTAAATTTATAATTTTCTTCTCACTTATCATAAATTGTAAATGAAGGTAAAATAAAAAAAAATATACATTTTTACAAAAATGAGAATTTATTAATATGTGAATTTTTGTTAAGAGCTATTTATATTTTAAACCAGAGAAAGTATTTATTAATATTTATATAACATGAACTTATATAATAAGTGAGTTAACATCTGATGAAAGGGGGAAAAAAAAAAGTAAGCTAACACTTTTCTTGGTAAACTAACATCCATTATATTGAACTAGTTATCAATCTCAAACTTAAATCTTACAATATATATATATATATATATATATATATGTATGTATGTATAAAACATATTCAAACACTACCGTCTAAAAATAGCTTTTAACTATTTACTAATAT